TCACAGTGCGATATCAGTGCTCCTCCGTAAGATTGTGCTCACATCGACTCACGGTGTGCGGGTTGGTTAGAGATTCCTGCTGAGCAGGAAAGTCATGCTCGTGCTGCATCACGAATCTCACTGTGGTGCGGTGTGAGCTTTAATCTTGCTGAGTTCATTAGTTAGTTTGTCTTTTGTCCAGCAGGATTGTCACAGAGCACTCACTTATATGACGATATAGTTCATAAACTATTCTTATCAACACGTGTCGTACTGAGTCTGTGTAGAATCTTATATCTTGTATATGCTGATTTGATATTCATTATGTGAAATCTGATATTTCTAGTTAAATTCATCGTCTACACGATATTTCTGGTTATGTTATAAGCCACATCTTACTGAAATCGCTTTTGTTATGATGTTAGACTATGATTGTATAGCGAATGTCGGTTTAGTAAAATTAAAGTAAATGTTGTATATGTATCATATTTTTTAACGAGTATATCTTGTATGCTGGCGTGTGTTTTTTCTAAGGCTAGGTATCCACCGCGTTTTGACTATAGGCGATTATTTGGAATTCATGATAGGCGGCAGTAGTGGGTGGGTGTTAGGTGTGTTGCGGCGCGGCAAGCAGTAACGAGTATGAAGCAGTATCATGGGCGATAAATCCGGGGGAGGGGGTTGCATCCCGCTCTTGAAGGATGTGGGGGGGATGGCTGAAAATAATCGCGCCCCCCTGAGATTCAAATAAAACTAATTCTCCGTGCCGCGACTTGAAAGTCAGGCTAATTATGTAATTTTGGAGACATGGGCAGATCGCTAAATCATTCAATTCTCGCAGGTGGGCGTGTACAGGGGGAAGGCGTCCAGGGGGTCCTGACCTGGACCCCCTCCCTGCTCGCGAGAAAACGCATCTGAGGGGGTCTAATTTCCAAATTTTTTTGGGGGAGGGCCCCCCAGACCCCCCTTCGCGTGATCATCCCCCCATTCCTCGGTACGGATTTACTCCCCTGGCAGTAGTAGTAGCAGCAGCAGTAGTAGCAGCAACAGTAGTAGCAGCAGCAGCAGTAGCATCAGCAGTAGCAACAGCAGCAGTAGCAGTAGTAGTCGTAAGTAGTAGTAGCAGAAGCAGTAGCAGCAGCAGCAGCAGCAGCAGTAGCAACAGCAGCAGTAGCAGTAGTAGTCGTAAGTAGTAGTAGCAGAAGCAGTAGCAGCAGCAGCAGCAGCAGCAGTAGCAACAGCAGCAGAAGCAGTAGTAGCAGCAGCAGCAGTAGCAGCAGCAGCAGTAGCAGCAGAAGCAGTAGTAGTAGTAACAGCAGCAGCAGCAGCAACAGCAGCAGCAACAGCAGCAACAACACCAGCAGTAGCAGAAGCAACAACAACAACAACAACAACAACAACAACAACAACAACAGCAGAAGCAGCAGTAGCAGCAACAGTAGTATTATTAATTTCCGGTATAACACTACTTACAATAGTGTGCAAAATCCAAATGATGACGCCCATTCAATATAATGGAACACACAAGGCAAGTGGAATCACGAAAATAGAAGTACAGAATACTAATTATGCTAATTATGTTTGTTTTGAGGAATAAAGTTACCGGTAGTAAATAGAATAATTTTAATCTTTACCAACGTGCGCATATTCGCCTAATGCGTAAACTCAGTTTGGCTGAGTTTGAATGAAATGTGAGCGTTTACTGTTTTTTGGTTGCGCATTGGATGAAAATTAGTGAACGATGTTATATATTTGATCATTTAATTAGCTTGGTTAATATAGCTTTCCTGCGGCTAGCGGGTGATCTTTCTCCATCAACTTGTAAAAGCATTTGCAATTTTCTCCCAGGCTGACTGCTTTTGGAGGACAGATGACAATCGAAAATGCCAGACGTTTTACGCAAATGGTCCGATGAAAGCGACCTTGTGGGCACACCATGGCGCGCATACGTTGGCAGATAACGTTGTGGGGAATTACCCGCCTGAGATTTTCAACGATGTTGTTCCCCCCTCGAGCGTGTAAGTGCGAGCGATGATCCGGGAGACACGCATGAGTGATTACGACAGTGAAAAAAATACACGGGGGCTCGGGGCGATTTAGCCCCCGAAATGCCAAAAAAAGCCCCCGTAAATTTGCATAGATTTCAATGCAAACCAAATTTTAGTGTGCTTATGCACGCGAGCTTAAAAAGTAGCCCCGAAAAATACATTTTAATTTTTTCCCTGAATTACGATACCACGAACAGGGTTGTTTTTTACACGCGTCTGTAAAAACAGTTGTGGCACATCGCGTTGAGCTTCCGATATTCCGCGTAAACTGTTGTTGACAAGGGAGCGAGAGCGAGGGAGAGACATCACGCGAAGGACAGACATCGCGCGACGGAGAGAGAGCGCGCGAGAGCACATGAGAAAGAGAGAGATCGCGCAAGGGAGAGACATTACGCGAGGGAGAGAAAGAGCACGCGAGGAAGAGAGAGAGATTGAGCGAGGGGAGAGCGCGCGCGCGAGGAAGAGAGAAAGATTGAGCGAGGGGAGAGCGCGCGCGCGAGCAGAGAGAAAGATTGAGCGAGGGGAGAGCGCGCGCTCGAGGAAGAGAAAGAGAGCGCACACGAGGAAGAGAGAGATCGCGCGAGGGGGAGAAAACGCGCGAGGGGGAGAAAACGCGCGAGGGAGATGCAGCGCGCGAGGAAGAGAGTTTTCCATTTTCTTTCACAGCGATCAAGGGAAAGGAAGCCAGTAGTTGCTGTGCCCTGGCGTTACAAGTTCTTTAGCTGAATGTGTGTTGAAATCGCAGGATTCTAACGTCAGCTGATGTTTGTTAACTTTGATGGTGATCACAGTAGTATGCACAAAAACAATTTTATTTTTTAATTACTGCGTGGGGCGCAGTTACTTGTCTGGATTACGTAATTCTAATAATTGACCATAATTATGCGCCAGCTATGGGGATGATGTTACTATACCTTCTTTAATAAATCATAAAACTGGAAGCCTTATTAGAAAATGCTTATATTATTTAAAAAAGTAATTGTTGAATGAGGTATAGCGATTTAAATTTTATATTTAATTGATTTTTAGATAGAATTTAGATGATACTGCTTTTCATTTGAACATGTAACATGCCTAGTAACATGTCACAAAAGGTGAGATGGTCGGACCTTAGGTTCCAGCAGTGATTTTGGTGTTACTCGCCATATGGCTAATAGTCGAGGAGTCTGTGTGCAGATTTAGACTCCTTTGGACTCCTCCGTGTTGCTTTTTTTAATAGCGTTAACTTTTATGAACTCATTCTCCTGAGTACAAACAACCAGAAATGCGATGTCGCCATGTTTACGTACATTTATTGGTATTACTTACATAATACTTTGGTATTATTTTACATATATAATAGCTTACCCTAGAATTAAATAGATTATAAATTTATTACAGAGTATAAAATAGGCACAAGTGCATAAAAATATTGTGTGTGTGCACACGCGTGGGTGTGTGCGTGCGTGTGTTCATAGCTGCGCACGTGTATATACGAACGCCTGTACGTTAGCGACTGAAAGTGCATCACTATCCGGTCCTGCTACCGCTTCCTGCGTAAGCTGTGATGATTATATATACAGTATGAAATTATTATGTCCGCTGTTGATGGAAACATGGAAGGATAGATAGCGCCAATCCTCTACTCACCTGAGAAATCTACAGAGGATGCATTCGATTTAGAGAACTTAGACATATAATGTAGTGCTGGCAGAATCGTGGACAGAGTACGTACACCAATAACTCTGAAAGTCATTCATAGATGCTTCATTGATCGTTGTCATAGCATAGAGTTTATGGTACGTAGTTGTGCGAGCAAGGTGATAAAACATTTTGCGCTAAAAATTTGCTAACATATGAATACACTGCGACAAAACAACCTCTTGTGGAGTATATAATGCATATAGTGGGCATAAGCCAAACACTAATTTTAGCAGCAGCTCGCGATCTCAATCATTATGGTGAATCACTCATAGACTATCAGTGACAACAAGAATGAAAGCAACAAGCAAAGTAGAAATAACGGTTCTTTGACACGTTGTTTTAAAATTAACAAGATGGCTTTTCTGGATTTGCTTGAAAATAAAGAGGTGAGGGTTTTTTGCAAATAGAGAGTAGTTTGCTGATGGCAACTGACGACAACGATTGTCGCAAGAGTGGTGTGATAAAGAAGCAGTCCGAATTCCCCCTTGCTATCGAATCAATGGTTTCATATATGTCGCCCTTTTACATGGTATATATTCCTTGTTTTCTGTTCATAATATCTGTTTATGAATGTACATTTCACATTATATATAAATATTGGTCCCACGCAATCACGTGAACTTGGTTCTTTTACACGTCACCCGAATAAATGGATTCATGGGTTGGTGCGTACGTGCGTGCGTGCGTGCGTGCGTGCGTGCGTGCATGTGTGCGTGCGTATATAGGTGCGTGTGGGTGCGCGTGTGCGTTTACATACCTGAAAATCTGTGAGTGTGCGCACGTGCATACGTGTGGTTGTGTACGTGCATCGTCCGCGCGTATGTGTGCCTGCGTACGTGCGTGCTGCATCGAGCGTACGTGCATGCGTACATCCTGCGTGTGTGTGCGTGCGTACGCGCGTATGTGTGCGTGCGTGCTGCATCGTACGTACGTACATGCGTGCAACGTGCGTGTGTGTGCGTGTGTACGCGCGTGCGTGCATCGTACGTTCGGCATGTCCGTGCGTATGCGCGTTCGTGCGTGTGTTATGTATGCGTGTGAGTCTAGTATATACATGGAACCCTTGATGTCCCTAACTCACATACTCATGTCCTTGATGCGCGAATAAACACTTAATTAACACGTTACAAATAAATGAGCATGGCCAGTGTACATAAACATGGCTACATGAATAGATGTCGCCATATAAGACACCTGCAACGTTGAGCACATATCCCCCAGTCAAGTTCCTGGTAAACCGGATTTGCTTTTCTCGAGTAAGGCACACCGCAATAGCTCGTTCTGTGAACCGGACGGTTGGTAATTTACCCTAGCAGCGGTAATTTCTGGTGAGATAATTTATTCTGGCCAATAAAGCCATAAATACTGTGACGATTTTCTGCGTACCTGGGACTTTTGTCCAATTCTGACTACCATTGGCGCCCTGGGTATTACGTACTGCTGTGTATTGCGTACTGAGTATATATAAAAGGGCGCCTGAGCGTTAGCATTCAGTATCGGAGCTGCTCTCAAGGTTGGACTTAGGAAAGAAACGAGGGCGAATATCACTGACTACAAACCACGCATTAACGGTAAGCGTACTACTATTTGAGTTTATTCCTTGAGTCTAGTGGCTCATGTATATATATATATACACATATATATGCAAGTGCGATGTACGTTATATATATAGAGAGAGAGTTTGCATTAGTTGCGATTTTATTGTAAACAAAATTGAAATAGAAGTATAGCAATGTGTATCTCGTGTCTAATGCGAGGTATATTATGTATTATGTAGGCTTGTTTTCGTGCCTCCTAGCAATTTAATTCATTGAATTAAACAAATATTGCAGCATTTAAGATTCATATTTGAGATATTATATATATTGCTTTTTACGATAACCTCTCGTGGAAAAAAATGGTTCACAGAAATTATGACATTTCGTTTCAGCTTGAATCCGACTCGTTTATATAGCAGCGGAGATTTGCACGAAAATGACTAGGTTACTTCTGATCGTGGTCCTTCTCTCGGCCATCTGTGTCGAGTTGTATTCGGCGGGCACCGTACGAAGAATCAGCGACGTACGAGCCTTACACGCACGCCAGCGACGACAGGCGTCGAAAATCCACAATCTGCCACAGGACTTTCTCGACAGTAAGTTTCTCGTAGCACGCTTTATAAGAATAAGAATAAAATCCGAAAAATATTTTCGCTGCGATAGTTTATTTTAGCATCCGAAAAATTCTAAATTCCGCTTCAGGATCACTGTCGTATCGCCCTGTTCGATATACACTATTCCTGAGCCTATTACGTGCGTGAATGTCTCCGTTCGACATATAAGGATGATATATACTACAGCGCCGCCTAGTAAATACACACAAAATTACTATTTTATATGTACAAAAACCTATATGAGTCGAACAGCGTTATCCTGTGCCAAAACCGTCCGTCGTAATCGACATAGCCTTGTCGCTTAAGAAGCATGCGAGTGAAAAATGAATATTTATTAGAGTGAACTGTAATGTAATAGATTAATTGGTCACTATATAGTTTCTATCAGAGCGATTACAAGAGTGGAATTTCAATCTCACCGAGCAGATGCCTGCGTGTGGACTACGTTAATTGGAATGTAAACTATGAACTAATAGATCAACTAGTCCTCCAAAAGTCATTTACTAGTCCTGCAAGGCCGCGGGCTATGGGTTGATGAAGCACAGCTGATGTCAACGGCCGCGCTCTTGTTGCAGAGTTATCGGATGCTGGAACAAACGCTCTGAAGAGCAAGTACTTGGAGGCGGCAAAACTCGTGAAGGCACAGAAGACCGCTGTCGAAGCAGAAGAGCCCAAATGTAAAGCCGACGCCGAGAAAGTAATTTTCGCATCAACTAGCATAAGTATTGTACTGGGGTTTTGGGTGAAGCCCTTCGGGTTCTCGTAGGTCGACAGCGTAGAAGCCTAGAAGGTAGCAGCGTTGTCTCGTAGATAGCAGTAGAGAGTAGACGTAGTCACAGCTTCGTTGTTAAACTATGACTTTATTAGTAACACATACAAATTCTATACATACGTACGGCAACCTAGGTGGGTGACCCACTAGGTCCCGTCGTCTCAATCTCTCTACATCATGGTAGGTAACCTCCGTAACTCGGTTTCTCTCTCGGTTCTTATTTATCTCTCTGTCCGAGTATCTCTATTTATATCATTTCCAAAATGGCCCGGCGACATCTGGATCCAACAATTATCGACCGGACCTTGCGGGCTAGGAGGCGCGTCCCGTGTCATTACACAAACAACACTAACAACTGACAGGACAATTAGTCCCACTGCCTCGCCTGGCTATAAGCGCTACCGGTTAATTACAACGCACAAATTGTACACGTATATGGCAAGCATTTTGTATCATAATTCGAGAAACCAAGTTTCCTTGCACGAAACCAGGTTTCGTGCTCACAAAACCTAGTTTCTTGCTCAAGAACCCAGGTTTCTTGCCATGAACCCTGGTTTCTAGCCCTATACCCGCAGTTATAGCTGCATGGAATCTTAGTTTCTTGAGCAGCAAACTAGGTTTTGGGAGCAAGAACCTAGGTTTCAGCAAGAAACCCACTTTCAACCGCGCCATTTGTATCATAATTCGAGAAACCATAGTTTCGAGCGACGAAACCAGGTTTCGTGCTCACAAAACCAGGTTTCTTGCTCACAAAACCAGGTTTCGTGCTCACAAAACCAGGTTTCTTGCCATGAAACTAGGTTTAGGTTTCGTCCTAGTTTCGTCGTTGCTAAGGCCCGTATCTAGGATTCGTAATCCCGAGCGTGACGTCAGCAACTGCTCAGTAAATACTATAGAAATAACATACTAGTTAGGCTAATTAATTAAATATTGTATAAATAAATTAAATATGCTGTGCTAATAAATGTATGAGAGTGATTCAAATGAAAAGATGTTCGCCGTGCTTAGTCAATATAAGAAAACAGAAATCTCCCGCACTATTTTGCCATGACTCGGTAGAGGCGCTAGTTTCAATCACGGTACATACCGTTAGTTTGTTTTCCCATTTTGACGTTGCAAATAGGAAATGGGTTTCTGACCTATTTCCTATTTTTAAAATGAAAATAGAAAATAGGAAATGGGTTTCTGATCCGTTTCCTATTTTAAAAGTCTAAATAGGAAATGGGAAATGGGTTTCTGATCCGTTTCCTATTTTAAAAGTCTAAATAGGAAATGGGAAAAGAAAAGGAAGGGGGTACGTGCGTGTACCCGCGTGTACGTGCGTGTACCCGCGTGCACCCGCGTGTACGTGCGTGTATCTGCGTGGACGTGCGAGTACCCGCCCGCGTGTACGTGCGTGTATCTGCGTGTACCCGCGTGTACGTGCGTGTACCCGCGTTCACACGCGTGTACGTGCGTGTACCCGCGTGCACACGCGTGTACGTGCGTGTACGTGCGTGTACCCGCGTGTACGTGCGTGTATCTGCGTGTACCGGCGGGTACGCGCGTGTACGTGCGTGCCATACAAAATGCTTGCCTTATGCTAGGGGCACACGAGCGTATTTTATCGCCCGATCGCGGCGATTAAAATCGCCATCTAATATAATCGCCCGATCCACGAAGGGGCACACGTAGC